ACACACACACACACATACACACACACACATGCACGCACGAACACACACACTCTCACACACACACACACACACACACTCACACACACACACACACACACACACACACACACGCTTTCACTCCATCGGTCGTTCGCTCGCTCTCCATTGAGAACTAGCATTAAATTAATACCGGTCAGTTTATCCGGCGTATTCTGTTTATGTTACAACATATTGAACCTTACACAATACTTTATTTTGGTGTTGGTTATAAAGGTATTATATGGAAGAAAAGTGATAATAGGTTTAAAAAAAACTTGTTGTGACTGCAAAATTCCCTCATACTTGACATATTAGTAATAAATCTATTTTCTTCCCTGTAACCCCTTTTATCCCTGCTCCGAGTCAGCTGCTTCCGCTGTTTGTTATGGACATTCTCGGTGACTTGCGCGGCATCCCTGGTTTGTTTGTGTCCTGTGTCTTCAGCGGTAATCTCAGGTGCGTACGGCTGTCTCATAGATAGTCTAAACTGTACAACATCACAATTTAAGACATATTTTAATAATAATTGTCTCCGACAAAGACAATCAGGAAATGACAAATGCAGTTTATTTGGACACCTGAATAGACATACGGTCTTGACCATCTGCTAGTTTTCACTGGCAAAATTGAAGGCAAACAAGGCACGGGTAGGCCCAAAACAAACCTTCTTGGAGAACCTGAACAAATGAGTAACTTGGAAAAATCAGGGTAGTGTAGCTTTTTTGAAGAGCATCCGAGCAAATGAAAGAATGAAGATCCATGATTGCTGATGTCTGCCGCAGATATGGCACTTGATGATGATGTTGAATAAGTGCGTTCGAGGAAGGTAAATGGCGTTAAGAACATATGTTAGCGTATGAATAAGTTTTAAGTAATTTCCAAGAAATACTTCACTTCTAAATCTCGAAGTAAGTGGTATGTCAGAAGCAGGATCTGATCTTATTTTCGCAATGTTGACTGAACACAGCAAAAACCTTCGTGGATTTGAGAGTCCTACAGTTTTTTGTTTGTTCATATGTTTTTTATTTGACTTTTTTTGGGGACTTTTTTTAACTGAGAACTTTAGCTCCTTGACCAATTATTTTTGCTTCTACTTTAAAAAAAAATATATTTTGCACAATAAAAGCTAAAAATAATACATTTCATGATCTGAGCACGTTGGTTGCCCTCGATAAAAATTAAATACAAAGTGGTTGTAATTTAGAGGAAGCCACTTCGGGAAATCTTGTTGTCCTTTTTGAAGGGTCAACTTGAAGAATGCATTTGATAAAGGCTTTAAATCACTGAGCAGAAAATCATCCGCGTTCCTGATCATTTCTTTTTAGCTCAATATCCTCGGCCTTAAATGCCATTGCAACGGTTGCCTTCAAAGACTTCCTCCAGCAGTTTTGCTGTAGCGGAGTGAGTGAACTAACAGCGACAATCATTAACAAGGCATTGGGTAAGTAGTTATCGTTTATCGAGTAGTTAGGCACTTTATTCTCAACGATGATATTATATTCACACAATCATTATTACAATACCTGGATACCTGGAGGTGTCATCTCTGCCTCAGAGGTTGAAGTGTAATGACCCTCCATCCTTCACGGCCGCGACCTGCCGTATTCTTGTCAGTTCATGTTATTCTTTGCCTTCTTCTGGCTCTCCTGCCTCACATCTTTCCTATTAGCACCTCTTGTACAATAGTCGCGTGTCTTTTTAAATGATAAAAGTATTGTATTTTTCTACGTTTTATTTTATTCACCAGGGTTTGTCTGGTGTGTAGAATCTGACATACCTCATTGTCTGTCCTTTTTGTTTTTGAACTTACTCTCGCCATTCTACAGTTGCATCACATCTGAAACGCATTTATTTTGTTTTCTTCTTTCCTTGTCAAAGTCCAGGTCTCTGCGCCACATTACAGGAATATGAGGAAGATGTAGCATTTCAACATTTTCTTTCTTTAAGTGAGAGAATCAAATAGTTTGTACATTTGGCTGAATCCTGTTTTTGCAGTTGTTGTTCCTATGTTTATTTCTTTATCACTTCTTCAATCATCTGATATTGTTGCCCCTAGATACAAGAATTGGTGCACTTGTTATTACAATACGTTTCCTTTTTGACAGTGTGTCCGATAACACGCTTGTCGGAGGGCCATTCTAGCGTAGCAGACGGTCAGGCCGGCCACACGCCCCCCCCCTTTACTTGATTTTAGTTGTGGCCGGCCGAACATAAAATTATCTTTTATGAGCTTATTGTAAGTACACCCTGTTGTGAAGATTATATCAAATTCGGAATCGGTGTTTCAAAATTATCAACATTATGAATCGCGAGATATTCTTTTTCTTGCTGATTTTTTAAGATCACAAAAATTGAAATATTTTTACCTAGATTGCTTCGTGTAATATTTGTCGCTTATCACAAAGAGGATGAACAAACTGTCGCTGTGAATAAATTGGCCATACCAGAGAATTTTACTGTAAATCCTCTCTGGTCTGATAATACCCCATTTAGTTAGACGTTATGGTGGCAGTCGCCGCAGTTACGCGCAATCCACGTAGTACAGAGAAGGGATATAACTGATATATAACAATATTGTGCATCTAACACTAACAGTCTTGTCTTCTCCTATCACTGTTTGTTATAACGGAAACTTCATTCGAAGACTTAGTCGCCTATGATGTCTGAGTCAATGCTACAAAGCAGTTCAGTTTATGATCCTCCTCTACTGTAGAATCTGAACATTATTATTGTTTATTTGTAATTTTTAGACATTAGTGAAGATTTCACTACTAGTTTTAGAAATTTAAAAAAAAGTGTCGTATTTAATCCAGTGATCATAATATTCGCTGAGCTTATGGTGATAATGAACTTGATCTGTTATGTTATAGATTAGGGTTCCAATCAGAGTCGGTTATGCGATTTGAATCTGAGACCATCTTTTAAAAATCCAGGAACTTAGCCTCTCACCTCGAGTTAAAACTAATGTCCAAGTGCTACTCGTTCGAAATAATGTGTACGTTATTGTGATTGTTTTATAACCAAAAGATTGAAACATGTGTAAAAATCTTATAACTCTTTCATCTGCAATTTCCAGTTGTCATATTCGGTGCTGCTGCCATCGCCCTCGCGTTTCTTGTGTCTCAGCTTGGTAGCGTTCTACAGGTGGGTCTGTTCTGTTTGATTCTTCTCTGTTAACACCCCTGCTGGTGTGCTTTGCTTTTAGCCTTTTCTGGTCTACTCTATTTCACTCTACATTTTATTCTTACCCATTCTATCCTCGTCTGTTTATTAGTTGCTGGTTTGTTTCGTTTGCATGCCATTTTTCTCTTTAAATTGTTCATTCTAGTGTTTTAAACACTCTTTCATTGCATGTCATCTTTTTGCAATATTTGGGCTCTTTGTCGTTGCACCAAAAGATGTTGGTCCAATTCTCAAGAGAGGAGTTCTATGTAATCGAGCATCTTCTTTTTATGCGGGATACTGTGTCCTTCTCGTTTATGTATTTTCACTGAAAGACTTGATCGAAGCAGCGTTCAACCTCTCCCCCCTCCCCTTTCCGCTCTGTTTTAGAACTAATTAAAACGTGAAGCATCTTGATGAAACAGGAGCTCATCAATTAATTAAATCAAAGAAACAGTTGTTTGTTTGGGTTTTATTGGGTTTTTTTACCATTCCACATTTTTCTTCGGATATTCTTTTTCTTGGCTCAATACAATTTATGGTCATTAAAAACAAATTATATGTGGACTTAACTAGAAATCGTTTGCTGTTTCCAAGGACACTGAAACTTTCAAAGTCACCAAACTTTTGCGGCAATTTTCTCGTTATTTTTACCCCTAAAACCAGGCGGCCCCCTTCAATCGCAAATATCTGGACTTCTTTTCAAGATGCATCCAAAAGTTAGACAAATGAACATGCTTTAAAGTGATACCAATACCGCAACATGCCCAAAATTGACGAGCGCCTGATTCCACCGCGTCGTGACACAAATTGTGTCAAATGGCCGGGTGACTCAACACTAAGACTTGCTATTGTAATTATTTTTCTAACTTGCTATACTCTATTTTATTATTGTTTAATTCTGTTATACAATATTCAGATACATGTACTCTATATTGTACTTTACTTCGCTCCGTTTTATTTAGTTTTATCCTATTATTTTATGTGCGTTTTACGTAAAAGAAAATATTTTTGCCTGGTCTATGAATTTCATCCACTCATTAGTTTATTGTTAAACCACTGTACCTGTCTGTCTGAAAGGCCCGTGTACTTTTGTGTCTATTGAAAAGATCATGAAAGACTAAGTTGTTATTACCAGCATCGTTGTGGTTATTGTTGTAATTTAGATAGCAATAATTTCTGAAGTATTTTACGATCCGTTGGATCCCTTTGTTATGTAATATTAACTTCAAGCTGCGGCACACAATGTACGAAATATGACAGAACACATCTGGTGGTTACATTTTGCGGCTATCATAAAAAAAAACTAATCCGCGTCGTACATTTTTATGCTACAGCTGTGACTGTTTAAGCCAAATTTATCTGGTCAGGGCTTCTCGTTCTTGAAGACACTTTAGCTATTATTGTTTGTTTTTTATTTCGTGCAGCCCACCTACGGTTTCGTGCATATTTCCAAGCGGGGCTTTGAATAATACATGTCACTACCCGTGTGGTGTCCATCTCCTACCTAAAATTATCAGATTTCCCAATAGCGGGTGACATCGCTCAGATAAGCCAGCGCTGGTCCAGGCAATCTTTTCCGCCTTATTGGTGGATCCTACTGACTACCTGTTCCTGAGGACGCGCTGTCAGATAGGTTGGTATTGTGTTGGACTACTCAGCGGATGCCCTTAGTTCGAATCCTCAAGGGCTGGTCTTTGAGTTGTTTTGGCAGCTTTTAAGGTTTCCCCAGTTGTTAGGATGGGCCCTATCGTAGATGGACGTTTAATTCTGATGTACCACCTTTTAAATAATCTTAGTGTTGGAAGGGGCGTCAACCCCCCACAATGACACTTGCTCCTTTGATATTTTTCTGTCTTTTTCATTTTGAGTGAAGACAAGCACAATGACACAATAACAATCCGTTAGTGCTAGGGAAATACAAGACACGCCCAGTCGACACAAAGCTAGTATAGACTAAGAGACAGAATGAACAGAATGGGAATAAAAAAGTAGAATCTTCCGGTGGCTCCGTCATAGAAACTGCTCACCACCAGTGTTATAACTAATGACACGTGTTTCGCTCGTATATCTCATACATTAGTGACAATTAGTACTACTGGTTTATGTTTTTATAAAAATATATTTTAAATTGTATGCACACGTGCAATTTAGTGATTGCGTTGTAAGAGATTTTGAACTTTTTTGCTTTGCACACCCAATAATTTTCTTTTTCTTTTGTTTCAACTATTTTACATGTTCCTTACTTGTCTCTTAGTTAGTTTTTTTTTTGTGTTTTTTTTTGGGGGGGGTGCTTTTGTTTTGTTACAGTTAAACTTTCGAAAGGAAATCCATTCTTTTGGCTTCCGTTGATATTGTATTATTATAATTTCAGACAAAAAGCCTTATTACAAAGAAAACCTTTATCGCTGTCTTCACAGGCCACCATCGCCATTTACGGCATCCTGAACGGTCCCCTCTTCGGTTTGTTTGTGCTCGCTATGTTCTTCCCTTGGACAAACAAATGGGTAATCTTTTTCATCAAATACAGGGTGATCCAAAAAAAACTGTAAACCTTTTTTCTGAATATCCCGCACAAAATTTCTACTGGAATGTTGTAATTTGGAACAGATATCATTCGTTCAAGAAGAATTTGTTTGACATAATTTTCATAAAGAAGAAACTTGTTTTCGAAGACAAAAATGGTTTTAATATAAACCACCTATGAACGCAAAAAGCACCAATTTAAAATATCTTGTAATTTAAGGAGCCATGAAATGAGCTGTTTGTTTTATCCCTCCCTTTTAATAAAATATAATCTTTCCATCCTTGTCACACTTAAACAATACTATTTCTTTTCTTTTACAGAGTTTTTGAAAAAAAAATAATTTTGGAATTCCAACAACTAGTGTTCAACATGTCCTCCTATGGACTCGTCACATTTTAATGTGTTGTTCGTAATGTTCAGTTGTGGACAAACACAGAAATCCACCCAACCATGTGTACTCAAAAGCCACACACTCTGTACACCTTAGAGTATGGAGTTGCTTCTAGAGACAGTAGGTTGGGGGGGGGGGTGAGGTTGCCCAAATAGGCATTTGAGGAGTTAACATATCCTGAAATTTTAATAATAATGTGGAATTTGCCAAGGAGTCAAATGTCATAGAGGAATGTTCACTTTTTTAAAGACGATCGAGGAATCATGAACACATTACTGTCGTCTGATTCACGTCCGCTTTGCAAACAGGAGAATGGTACAGTCGTAGATGGAGATTATCTGCCTTGAAAATGGGGACCATTGAGGTTTAGGAAAATCCTTGCTGCTCTCTGCTCGTTACT